TCATGTCACTTCGCGGCTGGAAAATTTTCAAAGACTCCCTGTCTCTAGAAAGGTCCTAGCTCCTTGGCCCAGCACATAAAGTCATCTCCAATCTGAGCCTGTCTACTTTCCTATCTCAGTCCCTTGACAATCTACAGAAGCCACAGTGAATAACAGTAGCAACAACAACAGCTAACAGTTACACAGCACTGATATGTATCAGGCAGTGTTCTAAGAACTTTACACATTAACTTGCATAACTCTAAGAAAAACACTTCCCAAAAAGTCTTGCACATCCCAGAATTGACAAGATACTCTTGCCTTCAGATCTTGCACCCAAAGTTGTCTCCACCTGGTAGACAATAAATACATATTTATTGCTCATCAACTTCTCCCAGGCACTATACTAAGTCCCAGGGATCCAAAGTTGAGTGAGATGTGGTACTTGCCCTCAAAGCATACAAAGTTGAGTAAGGGAGAGACACAAGAAGGTACAATTATAACACCATAAGGTAAGTGCAGTGACGGTGATGTTACGGAGCCACAGAGAGTGAGCCCCTAATCCAGTCTGGGGCTCATTCATTCAGCAAGGTAGTCAGTCAGGCACTCAACAAATGCTCACTGAGCCGTGCCTCTCTGCAGCCTATCAAAGGGTCCAAGGAGGAATTGCTCCCATTCTGCTGAGGGAGGCAGGCCATCTGGAGCTTTATCCCTTCTGGGATGCATTCCCCACTTTGCCAGACAGGGTGAGGTCTTTTTCCTGCAGTCCCTACTCTACCCACACCACACACCAACCACCTTTTATAGGGAAGTTCTGGGGCTGCTTCCTCCTGACACAGTGAAGGCAGAGAACAGTCTGACTTACCATGGGATCCAGCACCCAGGGCAGCCTGGACACAGATGCCTGGAATTTGCTGAATTAAAGAGCATGAGGAATAAAGAATGACAAAGATGGAATCCTCCTCCTGGGTTATTCCCTGACGCTCTCTCCAGAGTCAGGCCTGTACTTGCTACCTTTCCTGAGCTTGGCTCAGGCCCTCTGGAGCCAGGTCCTGCTGGTAAGGATGAGGCTGCAGCTGTCACTCCTAGTTTAGGAGCAGCCTGGTCAGAAAGGGACTTGCAGAGCGGGTTCCCAGGATGTCCCCCAGCCAGTGGGGAACTGCCTGCCTCAGGCTTCTGAGGAATAAGCATTATCCTGGGCAATAAGGAATAAGCTCTAGTTTTGGGGATAAGAGGGAGGAAGCCCTGCAGTAGCCTTCAGGACCTCTGGGTGGCAAAAGATGGTGTTGGAGAATCTCTGAGATTTCCTTGGCTCCCGAGCCCCTTCTGCAGCCTCTGGATTCTGAGATTGGTAGAAGCTGTGATGGAAGACTTTAGAAATAAATGACTCTGGCATGGCCTCAAACTAGAGGTGTTTGAGGAACATTCCAGGAAGTCTTCGGGAGCCTCAGTCTGAGTTAACGTGCTCTTTCTTCCCAGAGCTCTGCAGGGCAATCATGAGGATGGGAATCTTGGGCCAAGGATCTGAAGGGGCTTTCTGACTCAGCCCTCTCTCCTAGGCAGAGTAGTTGGGAAGCCCTGGTCCCTATCCCATGTTCCTCGCCTCAAGGTCTGTCTTGGCTAGTGGTGCCTTTGCAGAGCTGGGGCTGGGGGCAGGGAGTCTTGGGGGCTACTGCTAACAGCTTTGGACAAGGGTGGGAATTTCCACTCCTATCTAGAGAGTCATCAACACTGTGTGCCCTGACCTGGGCCTTTGGCCTCCAAAGGGCAGTGGGAAGGCCGGCCCCAGGGCCAATCCCTGGCCATTAATCCCTCCTGCCAGCCCGAATATCCACCCAGTATGGTCAGACAAAGGACTGCCCAGCCCAGCCACTGTGTTCCTCCCGCCCCAGGGGCTCCACTCAGACACTGGGCCGCCTGGAATCCAAGCCCATGAGAAAGGGGCCGCCTTCACTGGCCATCTTATGCCCGGATGCTCAGCCGCATCACGTCCGGCCCAGGGCCTGTGAAAAGAGGGCCCAGCCACGCTGAAAACACGGATTAGCCCTTGGGCCGCCCCCTGACACCAGCTTGCTCGGCTCCAGCTCCGGGAAGCAGGCCCAATGGAGGGGACCAGACAGGCACAAAGAACTGGAAAAGTCTCGGTTCTCACCCCTTTGGCCTATCTCCCCACCCCCACCCTTCCCAGGATTAGCATAGTCAACCACACATTCAGTTTCATTTATTGAACATGTACTATGTCCTAGGCTGTACACATTGAATGGAAAACTGAAAGTACAAGGAAACTGCACATAGGCACAGGTGGTAATAAAAGCCACTTTTCCCTCAACTCCCTCACTCCCTGAAGGTGTGAGGTGGAGGCTGGGGTGGGGTGGGGGCTTCAGAGGAGCTCCATCCCTAAGAGAAGGTGGGAAAGGCAGTGTATAAGACTTTGTTAGCTCTGCTCTTTGCCTGAGTCTAGGTGCAGGATGATGTTGCACCTGGTTGAAAATATGCAGGTGCTGAATTAACTCCTCTGGCCCTGCCTCTCTCTCCTGGTTTAATACTTCCTTGGTGAGCTGGGCATTGTGACTGTACCATCTTGTGTTCCATATGGCCTGCGTTCAGGCGGTAGAATGCAGGGTGGGACGGGGTGCAGTGGCTTGGGCCTGTAATCCCAGCACTTTGGGGGCTGAGGAGAGTGGATCATGAGACCAGGAGTTCGAGACCAGCCTGACCAATGGTCTCTCTATTTTTAGTAGGGACATGGTGAAACCCAGCCTTAGGAGGCTGAGGCAGGAGAATCATTTGAACCTGGGAACTGGAGGTTGCAGTGAGCCGAGATTGCACCGCTGCACTCCAGCCTGGGTGACACAGTGAGACTATGTCTCAAAAAAAAAAAAAAAAGATGCAGACTGGTGGGGAGGTTGAAGAGGGTTCTGAGTCAGGACCTGCTAGAATATAAACTGAGCTGATTTTTCACTATTGTGGGTTAGAGATTGTCTCTAGATCTCCAAGTGTCATCTCCTTCCTCTCTGCTTCCACAGCTCCTCTGCCCACCTCTCTCATAGCTGGCAGTTGCCTGTCTCTTCACCAGATTTTGAGTCTTCATTTCTGTCTTGCCTGGAACACTCGCAAAGGGACTGGTGCAGAAGTGCTTGGTAAGTAAGTGATGAAGGCTGAACGGAGGCTAGGAGAACTGAAGGAGGGATGGATCTGGGATCCATGTGGAATAGACAGGACTTGGGAGTTGCCTGAATGTGGAGAGTGAGTGGGGAGGGAGGAGCCCAAGACGAAGACAACCACACTTTAGTCTGATGGTGGTGGGAAGGAGAGCGGAGAGGTCCATTTGCTGAGGTATGGAATGCTGGAAGGAGAGCTGGCCAGGGCTTAAGGATGTACTGGGTAGAGGAAGAAATGCATTTCATTAGGACATCTGGGTTTGAGATGACTTGAAATATCCATGTGGTTATGACCAATGGGCACTCGATATACTGAGCAGGAGGTGAGGAGAGAAGCTAAGAATTGACTTTGGCAGCTTAAGTTATGGAAGCTGGAAATACTCTTAACTATTAATCTCTAATGTCTTAGCTCAGCTTTAAAGGATGGCATTCTTAGAAGAGTGGGGTGCTACAGCTTTGAACTTCACATTTAATTCCAGCTCTACCACTTACTACTAGCTGTGTGAAGTCAGGGAAACCACTTAACCTCTCAGAACCTTAGTTTTCTCATTTGCAAAATAGGAATAATAACAGTACTCACCTCACAGGGTGCCCAAACTTAAGTGCAATAATGTACATAAAGTGTTTACCAAATACAAAATGCTCAGTAATGGTGACTGTGATGTCATCAGCTGAGATTGGAGCTGAGAGGGGCCCTTGAGCTCCATGCTTTGAGTTTGGATTTTGAGTTTGGAATTAACAGGCTTGCTATAACTAGTTTTGGTCACCTATACCTGGGGACACTCTAGAGCATGGCTGAGGGACTAGGGTGGGGCAAGTGAGACACCCAGGGCCCCAAATTTAAGGAGGCCCTGGCTTTCAAGTGCTAACTGTACCTGCAAGACTCTGAGATTGCACTCTTCTCAAACTCAGCACCTCAGGCACCTCTGGGCTCACTTTCCTTCCAGCTCTGCTCCACGTCCAAGTCTGTTGATCTACCTGTCCCCAGGACCAGACACTTTAAGACAAGGCTCCTTCACCCTGTGGTTCCCTCGGAGCTGGGGATGGGTCTCTGCTGTCTCTTTGGAGAAGACGTTTCCCAAAATAGGCTGGGTGCTGCATCCCTCTGGATGGTAGTTGTGGGTGGAATTTCCCAGACTGAGTTTTTGACAAAAACTGCCAAAGACCCCCATCCCCAGTGAGATGTGAGTGTGGTGTTTCTGGGTCAGAAATGTGGCTCTTTCAGACTCAGTCTGTGGAAGCCTGCATTTCGTACTGTGTGTGTGTCTGTGTGTGAAAAGAAGCTGTTTTCTCCAACAGGAGGGGTGTGGAGAGGCGGCAGCCAGAAGGGCAACTCCAAGTTGTAGACTTCCTGGGGGCTCTTGATTTAAAGAGGTCGCACCACTTTCCACGATTTTGTTTTTTCAAAGAATGACCTCAGGGCCTGGAGGGAGGGCAGGACAGGGGTATGGCGGAGGTGGGTGGCAGGGAGGCGAGATGGTGACCCTGATCTGGAGCAGCCAAACATCCTCCCAGAGACAAAATCGGCCTGGCTTTGCCTGCCCTGCTGCTTCATTACTTTGGCCCAGGTTCCCTAATGTCTACTAGTGGGCCTGAAGCCTACCCATCAGGACACGGAAGGCTGGCAAGGTGGCCTTCATCTCTGTCCCAGCTAGGGATGGAAGGACCAGGAGGAGGCTGTGGGGACCGACTATTGGGAGGAGCAAAATGGGGAGGGGGCTGGGAGAGTGAATGGGTGGATTTGTGATTGGGAATGATCCAAAGGAGAGGGGGTAAAGGGAGGGGTGGAAAGGGAAGGGGGCTGACCAATACAGTGGGATGGGGCCAGGGCCAGGGGCTGACCTAACCCAGATGGGGAAGGGGTGACTGGGTCTGGGAAAAAATGATCCAAAGGCAAAGAGGGAGGGGCGAAATGGAGGAGGGTACCGTGAACAGAGTAAGGGGGCTGGGAGAGGAAATTAAGAGGGGAGGTGCTGGCCAGCAGGGAAGGCCTGAGCCCTCTCCCCTCGAGGTGGTGAGGAATGGTGGGGGGAGGGAAAGGGCCCTGTCCATAAAAAGCGGGTCGGTGGCCCCTGCTGTCCCGGAGTCGCGCGGGCAGGGGCTGCCGCAGCCTATGGCGGGGAGCAGCGACATGGATCCGCCCGCCGCTTTCTCGGGCTTCCCCGCCCTGCCCGCGGTCATGCCGTCGAGGCCGCCGCCGTCGCCGCTCGCCGGAGCTGAGCCGGGGCGGGAGTCCGAGGAGGCAGCGGCGGGCCGCGGGGAGGCGGCCCCCACGCCAGTGCCTGGCCCGGGGCGGCGGCGGCGGCGGCCCCTGCAGCGCGGGAAGCCGCCCTACTCATACATTGCGCTCATCGCCATGGCTCTGGCGCACGCCCCGGGCCGCCGCCTGACGCTGGCCGCCATCTACCGCTTCATCACCGAGCGCTTCGCCTTCTACCGCGACAGCCCGCGCAAGTGGCAGAACAGCATCCGCCACAACCTCACGCTCAACGACTGCTTCGTCAAGGTGCCCCGCGAGCCGGGCAACCCGGGCAAGGGCAACTACTGGACCCTGGACCCCGCGGCCGCCGACATGTTCGACAATGGCAGCTTCCTGCGGCGCCGCAAGCGCTTCAAGCGCGCCGAGCTGCCGGCGCACGCGGCCGCGCCGCCTGGGCCGCCGCTCCCCTTCCCCTACGCGCCCTACGCGCCCGCGCACGGCCCCGCGCTGCTGGCGCCACCGCCCCCTGCCGGCCCTGGCCCCGCACCGCCCGCGCGCCTGTTCAGCGTCGACAGCCTGGTCAGCCTGCAGCCCGAGCTGGGGGGACTGGGCGCCCCCGAACCGCCCTGCTGCGCCGCGCCCGACGCCGCCGCCTCCGCCTTTCCGCCCTGCGCGGCCGCCGCCTCCCCGCCGCTCTACTCTCAGGCCCCCGACCGCCTAGTGTTGCCCGCGACGCGCCCCGGCCCCGGCCCGCTGCCCGCCGAGCCCCTCCTGGCCTTGGCGGGGCCGGCAGCCGCGCTCGGCCCGCTCAGCCCGGGGGAGGCCTACCTGAGGCAGCCGGGCTTCGCGTCGGGGCTGGAGCGCTACCTGTGAGTCTGCGCCCCGCGGGCAGGCACCTGTGCGCCCTGTCCCCTGGGCCTGCGACGCCGCCCGCGAGCACCCCAGCTGGGAGCACACCCTGCGCAAGTCTCATCTTGGCCTCCTGGACTCAGATTCCTGCTACATTGTTCTCTGTCCCCCATCCCTGGGGAGGCTACTACCATCTCGCCACGGGACCGAAGCGTCCCCTGTGACCTGCGAGCCTCTCATTTCTTCTCCCTCCACTTGTGAGCACCCCCAGCTTTGCGGCCCCTTCTCCCCCAGCGCTGTCTGTGGGTCCTTTGCCCCGGAGCTGCCCCGCCTCCAGTGAGTCCCCACCCAGGTTTCCTGGTGAGTTCCAAGCCTCCGGAAGCCAGATCTGCGATGCCAAGCCGCCTCTTCCACCGACTGTACTTCATCAAGCTTCCCTCAGGTTTTTCCGACACGTTAGAGGTCAGACTCCTGGGTTCATGACTTACTCGCTAGCGTCCCTTCATTTCCCCACAAGTTTGTCCCCCACCTCCACTTACCTGTCTGCCCTCAGCTTCTTCCTGGGAGAGAGCCTCCCTTCCAGGTAGACACTCCTGGCTGCCCTCTTCACGCCCTGAGGACTCTTCTTGGAGATTTCAGAGACAGGTAGCACTAGGGCGCCTAACTGAAAGGGGAGTTAGTGGGCCTTTATGTCTGTCCCACCCCCTGGAAAACTTAGGGCTTATTGGGTTATTATTATTATTTTTAACTAAAGCTGGTTTAATTAAAAAGAAAGAAACCCTTTTTCTGGGCTTGGTGTGCTGGCTGGTGACTTTCAGGAGAGGTCTGGGGAGACCAGGGGAGCTTTGTTTCAGATCTTGGGTTGCTGCATGGGGTGAACCTCCTCATCAGGCATCAATCAGAAGTTCATGAAGTGGGATTAGGAGGCGATTCTCCAGCAGGATTAGTGGCTAACATAATTTTGTTTTAAAAAGGAGGTGATTCCACCATAGCTGTGCACATAGTAGGCCTAGTGTAATGCCATCTCCTGCATCTCAGCCCGGTAGAGATGAGATGGGCTGGGCATGTGTGTGTACACACTGTGTGAATATATCTGAGCAGTGGGTTGCCTGCTATCTGGGGTTATCCCCAACTCCCATAGATAAAGGAGCATGGGCCATTGATTCACTCGTCCAGTTAGTTAATGTGCTGAGCCTGTGCTAGGCACTGGGGAAATATCACTGAATGGATGGGCAAAATCCCTGCCTCATGGAGGTTGTGGGCCAGTGGGGAAGAGACATTAATCCAACCATCACCACTCAGATAAATAAGTGAAGTAAGTACTCTAGAGCCTTACACTCAAAGTGTGGTCCACAGACCTACACCATCACCTGGGAGCTTGTTAGAAATGCAGAATCTGGCAGGGCATGCTGGCTCATGCCTGTAGTCCCGGCATTTTGGGAGGCCAAGGCAGGAGGATCCGTTGAGGCCAGGAGTTCAAGACCAGCCTGGCCTAACATAATGAGACCTCATCTCAGTAAGTAGGTAGATAGATAGATAGATAGAAAGATAGAAATGCAGGATATCGGCCCCACCTAAGATTCACTGAATCATCAGATTATGCATTTTAGCAAAATTCTCAGGTGACTAGTATGCATAATATTCTGGAGGAAAGGCACTGGCCCCAGCAAGGGGCTCAGTCTAAAAGATTAAAGCTCCTTACTATAAAAAGTGAGGCCAGGCCACAGAACCACAACCCACGCCCTCTGAACTTCTGGACACTGCACATTGGCTATGCCCCTTGTCTTACCTCCCTTGATGGATTTTAAGACGGGGCAGAAGGGACCTCAGCTGTTTCGTGACTGTCTCCAGCACCAAGGACAGGGCAGCACTGAGTTGAGATTCAGAGGTGTGAGGGAGGGAGTTGGCTTTTGACCCTGTCCTGCTGTCTGGTGCTGACCCAAATGCTAAGCCTCAAGCTTTTAGGGCTCCCAGTCTAGTTGAGCTTGCATTAGGGGTAGAAGATGGGGGAGGGAGTCAGTGTGTCTTGAACCCAGGGTGAGTGTGATCTGCATGCAGATGTGCCTCTCTTGGATACCAGAGTTTGAAGCTCAGGGTGGTGATGGAAGGTGAGGGTGGGACTATGGGACACTCACAGAGGAGAAAGTATGAAAATCCAGGTTTGCTGTAGCTTTGGAGAAAAAAAAAAAAAAAAAGAAAATCCAGGAAGGCCCTCTTTGGGGATAGGGCAGTAGGTTTGCACAGTGTGTTAGGAAGTGACCTGGATATACCCCCTCCCTCAGCTCTTAGCCCCTTTGAAAAAGTGAGCATCAGATCTGATTTGCCTGATGCACAGCAGTCCTTCACTTAACATATTTTGACTGCTTGAAGGCATGAATCACTGATGTCTGATACTGTGCCTGACTTACAGAATAATGACTTAGTGGATAGTACTTTGACTTAGGCACCTTCTTATCCATTCTCACTCGAAATCCTCACAGTGACCTATGGAAAGGGTAAAAGAAGTGAAGGTAGAGCTATTTCCCCACTTGTAAGTTTTGAAAACTGCCCGTCGCTAGGCCCAGTAGGTAGCAAAAGATCCAGCCCTTCATTCTCTAGGAAGTAGAGCTCCGTAAAGATCAAAATGCAAACCTTTTGCTCCAAATGGTGTTATAGCCTCTCCTCCTGCCTCAGAGCACCTGTTGATAAATTCCTTCCTAGTCCAAGAAATCCTAGAGAAGGAAAGGACCCTTGTGGCTCTCCTGAAGCCAGGAACGGCTTCCTGAGCTCTGAATTCCATTCTTGCTACCACCCTGCAGGTCTTGGTCCCAGGATCTTGAAACGCTTTGAGGACAGGTAGAAAATATCTGTAGGGAAATACTAGGAGGGTCACCCCTGAACTTAAAAATCAGATTTTCATTTTTTAAATGCTTCCTTAATTTTCCTTTGTCAGGCTGGGTGCAGTGGCTCACACCTGCAATCCCAACATTTTGGGATGTCGAGGCAGGCAGATCACCTGAGGTCGGGAGTTCAAGACCAACCTGGCCAACATGGTGAAACCCTGTCTCTACTAAAAATACAAAAAGTAGAGCTGGGTGTGATGGCGCATTCCTGTAATCCCAGCTACTTGGGAGGCTGAGGCAGGAGAATCGCTTGAACCTGGGAGGCAGAGTTTACAGTGAGCCGAGATCCACCATTACACTTCAGCCTGAGCAACAGAACAAGACTCCATCTCAAAAAAATTAAAAAAAAAATCGAAACAAGTACATAATCTAACAAGTCAAATAGCAATCAAAGGCTTATAGTGGTATCTTGCACCATTCTCAGGATCTCTACTTTGTTGCATACAAGAATCTACTTTCAATTCATATTTCCTTCTCTTGAAATATAATTCCAAATTTCTATGCTTATACTCCTCTGTTTTGAAACAGTAACGATTAAAACTTCCTATTATTATAGAGGATCATTTACCTCTAAAATCTCTATCTCCTTCCATTCCTCCTCAAATTACCAACTTTTGGTGAAATAAAGTTTTAGCTTTTACATTGTTACTATGTAAATATTGTTCTGTGATAAGCTACTAGTGTACTAAGATTATAATTCCTTTTGTGTGTGTGTGTAACTTTTTATTTTACCTAGACTTAATAATGCCTTAATTTTTCATTTGCTCAACTTCCTTTGTACCTACAAAGGTACAAAGCTAAATCTATGGGAAGTTAAATCTTCCCATACCTTCCAGTAACACTTTTCATGAGGTGAGGTCAAACTTATCAGGAAACCTATCACTGCTTTTGGTGGTTGTGTTTTTCCTTCTCTGGGGCATCTCTCCCAGCGCCCTCCATCCTTCAGCTCATCCGGACTGATGGTGCTCCAGGTCTGCTGAACAGAGCTGGAGCTAGAACTTCCCTTCACCATTACCTTGGGAATCCTGTTTTGGATCTATTTCCTGATGTCCGTATCTTCCCTTTTTCTTAGTTTATCCCTTGTTTCCATCAAGATAAAATGTTTTGGAAACTTTGCACATCTGAAATTGTCTTAGCATGAGAAGCTAAACGTGTTGTCAGTAATTTCTGAGCTAATAGGTCATTTGACAATGAAATATTTGAGTCAATGCTATGCTTCTCTGTAGACTTTTTTTTTTTTTTTGGAGGGAATCAGAGAATGGGAGATGTTTTCTCTGGTTAGTATGCTTTACCTGCAGGGAAGCAGGGAAGGTGGGGTAGTATTATGGAAATGAGGGGTTACAGTTTTGGCAGGAGAACTCTTGATACTTCCTTACAGGAGAAGGAAATCTGAGAGGAGAAGCCCTGGGATGGTTGGCTTCCTGACTTAGGGGGACTTGGAACACAGGGAGGGTCGCTTTGGGCCCAGGATGGTGCTGAGCTGGTTTGAGGGCCTTCTGGATCCAGCTCAAGAAAGAAGCCAACATCACTCTGGCACACAGAAAATTGAGTACACAGGAAAGTGAGCCCTTGGCCGGAACACTGGCAAACATGACAACAGAGAGGCTCCTTCAGGAGAGCCCTCCACTGTAGTGACTAGATTGGTTTTGAGCCCAAGTATATTACCTCTCTGGGAGATCCGGTGAGGGGATTTTGCACGATACAGGTTGTTGTGGTTTAACTTTTAAAGGGAAAGAATTCTGTGGACTTCCAGTATTGACTTTAATTTTTTTGTTATGATGTCAGTATTTGCAGGTATAAATTCCTTAGACTAGTATTTCTTATGTGATTGTTAAAATTGTTTATAAGTTAAATTCAAACAACAATGCGATAAAAATTCAAGTTCATAACGTTAGTCAAATGTAAAAGACCATATTGTGGCCAGGCACAGTGGCTTACACCTGTAATCCCAACGCTTTGGGAGGCCGAGGCAGGCAGGTCTCAAGGTCAGAAGATCAAGACCATCCTGGCTAACATGGTGAAACCCCATCTCTACTAAAAATACAAAAAATTAGCGGGGCCTGGTGGCACGTGCCTGTAGTCCCAGCTACTCGGGAGTTTTGCTGAAACTACATCACTTGCACAATGAATGTGACTCTGGTTTCTCCATAGCAGGTTTTCCGGGTTTGTCATTCCTTGGGCCATGTGATGACTAAAGTCACCATTTTAAATTTTAATTTAATTAATTTATTTTTTGAGACAGGGTCTCACTCTGCCACCCAGGGTGGAATGCAGTTGTGCAATCATACTATACTGCAGCCTTGACTTCCTGGGTTCAATTGATCCTCCTACCTCAGCCTCTTGAGTAGCTGGGACTACAGGCATGCACTAGCATTCTGGTTAACACCATTTTTTTTCTTTTGAATGAACTGCAGGTATTCCTTCATGTAGCAGGCCATGATACCAGTGGGCCCAAACACAGCATGCATTTATAAAATCTCCATTTTTTTTTCCCTCAAGATTAAAGTAGCACTACCTGATAACAAATGCAAATAAGGGCCGGGCATGGTGGCTCATGCCTGTAATCCCAGCACTTTGGGAGGCCGAGGTCGATCATGAGCTCAGAAGATGGAGACCAACTGGCTAACATGGTGAACTCCCATCTCTACTAAAAACACAAAAAGTTAGCCAGGCGTGGTGGCACGCACCTGTAGTCCTAGCTACTCGGGAGGCTGAGGCAGAAGAATCGCTTGAACCCAGGAGGCAGAGGTTGCAGTGAGCTGAGATTGCACCACTGTACTCCAGCCTGGGCAACAGAGCGAGACTCTGTCTCAAAAAAAAAAAAAAAAAAAAAAAAAAGACTTTAAGTATCAGGTATCTCTTATAAAGAAGTCACCTATGCAATCCAGAATATGCTTATATGAATGTG